CTTAACTACTTGGAAGACGTGGTGGGCAGCTGTGCTACCATAAGGCAAGAAATCAAGATTAAGAAAGTTCGATCCATATGAGTTTGAATTTGTCGTAAACTTTGTTTTAACAAATTCACATGGATAGGAACACATACACCGTTTAAATCTAAGTGTCATAAGATTTCCTCCTTCATGAAAATGATTGTGAGGAAATGCTTTCACTAAGAAAGATTTTAAAAGATAGTGATTGTAAAATTGCATTCTCGAATTCGATCATGGTTACGGCATCCCTTTCCATAATTTGAATTGTGAGGTTTGGCAATTAGTCTTAATTGTTAAGACACACATATGAACTATCTAAGGCAAAGGTATAAGTTCAAGAAGCCTTGATAAAAGATTATCAAAGCACTAAGTATTAGAAACATGACTTAAGAAATTCAATAAGTATTGTTTTTCTGAAAGTTAAGATGTTTATGAATACATGTCGAAGCTAGTGGGAGCATAAGTGTTATGTTTTATAATAATCATCATGATAGTGGGAGCATAAATGTTATGATTGTATGATTATTAAGGCACGTATTGCATAGTTGGCAATATTAATTATAGAAAACAAGAGTCATACTTTGCAAAGTTGTAAGAGTTGAAAGGTTGTTTTGCTATAATTAAGGGAGAGAATATTATGCTTCATTTCAAATCTAAAGGATTAGGTTGTGGAATGTTAATAAATTTAGTCAAAGGTACATAGTGTGTTCTTAAAATTTCGATTATGATTACGGCATTCCTCTTCACAATTCGAATTTTGAGAACATAGAAAATAAAACATTGTGCGTCGTGTCCCATACGCTTCGAGTATAGGATCGATTGCAAATGATTTAATGTTTGACCATTCTAAAATTTTCCAAATGTCTAGTGCATTTAGAGGGAAAAGGGACTAGAATTGGTTTTGACTAAAATAATTAAACAACTATCAAAGGACAATCCAAAGTTCGACGAGGATTGGTCGCTTGTGAGTAGTTGGAAGTATAGTATTGGAAATTATGGAAATGTTTCCATATTGGATGGACAATATCGACATCATTACGAATAGATAAGATTCTATTAAGAAATTAGTTGTCATATGGAAAATATGGAAGCGTGTCCATATTGGGAAGTAAATATTGAAAATCTATGTCTAGATTAGAAACTTTTATGCAAAAGGATGTTCAAAGGAATGTACTTTGAGTGAGAGACATCATATCTAAGGAATTGTCTTGTAACAATCTCCGATAGAGGACTTTGTAATATCATTGGCAATAGTCTTTGAGACTTTGGTGCAGTGACATTACAAAAGGATCGTTGCATAAAGTGTTAGAATCTAGTATATTCTATAAGTAACAAGAATTTGATATTCTTACACTTAAGAAAATGGATTTGGAGTTGTAAAATGAGAATGATTGGAAATGTGTTCAATTTGTCTATTTCACAAAAGTAAGAACCATAGGTAAACATTGTGTGCATGCTAGGAGCATGGGACAAGTGTTGGAATTCAAGTAAGAAGTTGATTACCCGAAACGACAAATAATGAGTAATCGATATGGTGATAAATAAAACGTGTTTTGTTTATACTCAAAGGTTTGAGGCCATATGGGATTAGTATTATTCTTGTGTTTCACCTTGCATGTTTTGACTTCCAGAATAATTGAGTTTATTAAGAATAATCGAATTATTCAAACGGGCCACAGTCGTTCATATGTTGGAAGTAGATATGAATGAAGACTGTCGTGAATTGGTGTGTGGATTGTCTAGAAGAGTATTAGACATAAGCAAATGTTTGCTGCAACGTTCATGAGTGCTTATGAATATGATTTGAGCATTGGATTAAACCCACGCTCACTTGGATCACTATCTCGAGTGATTAGTGAGACGATAACATCTTATATTCTTCAAACCGAGATGTGTGAGTTGTATCTTGCTAATCGGTTGCACATTGATAATATGTAAACGCACTAGTAACTTGGTGTTATAAAACATATTATTGTGTGTGATTTGGTTAGTGAGTGCAAGCAAGCATTGTATCAAAGTTTATCCGTTCCTTTTATTCAAAGAATAAAAGCGATATCTTTGGGCCCCTCGATGGTTTAGTGATGACATACGTAAATGCTCGGCCGGGCTAGGGCTAATTTGATTTGTTCAGTTAGTCTGTCGTCATAAATCGGAAATCGAGAAGTAGTACAAAGAGAATGATTTGAAATCATATCTCATACGATATCTAGAATGGAGGAATATATGATCCCTTATCTAAGGACACGCGTATCTGATATGATCAGAGTTGACAGCGGCTTTGGAAAGCTACGATTGCAGATCAGGATCTGAAGTCATACGCAGAATAGTTGTTAGACTTATCCAAGTGGGAGACTGTTGGATTAGTGTCTAAGTCCATAACTATTTTGGTATGTACTTGACCCGATGGTGCATGGTCCTTTTGGGTTGCCTTCACCAAAGCAACTTGATAGGATGAATTATGGAGAGTAAGGATTAAATATGATTTATTAATGTATTATGAGAATAATATATTAAAGGAGAAATCATATTGTTTAATTAATATTAGTCAATAATTAATTGGTAATTAGTTTTGTGACTAAAAGAGATTAATTAAACTTAAGGGACTGGAATTGTAATTATAGGATAATTGCAATTTGGGCCATGGATTGCCTTGTATTAAGGGATGGACGAATTCTAATGGGAAACCCATAAGGAAATCGTCCATGGGCTTAATAAAAGGAGTCTATGGGTTGCTTAGGGCTTAAGCATCCAAATTAGGGTTTCCTTGTTAGATAACCCTAATAGCCCAAGTATATAAAGACCCCTTAAGGCTCAAAAACGTGGCTAATGTTCTTGTAAGGGTTTACACACGTTTTTGGCAGCCTCCATCCTCTCTCCTCTTCATCCTCTTGCTTATGGTGTTTGTGAACCATTAGAGGAGTGACACTTGTGACTCTAAGCATTCCAAAGTCAATACAAGGGGAATTGGGATTGTTATTGCTACATAACAATCAAGGTATGATCTTAAACCTAATTACATGTTAATATGATTACTTGCATGCTAGAATTAGGGTTTATAGTCTTGGATTCAAAGCATGTACAATAAAAGAAACCTAGATCCAAGCATTAGGGTTTGTATGAGCACATAGGATGTCTTATGACCAAAACCCATCAACTTTTACTACAAACGTTTACAAACTCGTACTTCAAACACTATTTCAAATATTTTGATACAAACATAGATACTAAATACTTATGAACTCACCAGCTTTAATGTTGATAAACTCTTTCAAAATAATTTGTATTCTCGGGTCATCAATAGACAGGTACCGATGCCAACTTTTGAGAAGATGGAGCGCATACAAGACTCATCTTTTATTTTGATTCATATTTTGGTGTCTTATATACTACAGAACACATTTGTATTAAAATTATATATTTAATGCAATGGATGATGTTGTTTACTTGTTTACTATTATACTATGTTGTGATACTTTAAATGACGTCCTTCCCCCCAGAACGTTTCCGTCGTTCTTGGTTTTGGGGTTTGACAGACTAGTCCCCGATTCGGTCGCTAGGACCGAAGGGTAGGTCGGGCGCCCCAGATATGTCTCACAGCATGATTGTGATATGATATTATATGCTAGTAGTATGGGTGAAATAGTCCCCGTGTCCGATTGAAATAGGTCGGAAGGTAGGTCGGCACCCCAGAATAGTCTGACATGGGTAGGTCAGCACCCCAGAACGGCTTGACATGGGTAGGTCAACACCCAGAATGGTTTGACATGGATAGGTCGGGCACCCCAGAACTGTCCGGCAATATGAATGTTCTTCGGTATGTGGTATGATTGGGGAACTCACTAAGCTTTGTGCTTACAGTTTCAGTTTTGGTTTCAAGTACCTCTTCATCCAAGGGGAAGGAGTCGGTGGTGTAGCAGCGCATCACACACACATGATTTCCGCATTGAGTTTTATGGGATTGTACTCTGATTTGTTATTACTATTGATGATATGGTTTGAGACACATTGTTATGGTTTTTATAAATTGATATGACATTGACAGTGTTTTTGGTAAACTATTTGATAGGTTAATTAAAAATGAAATTTTTGGCCTTGAAAATTGAAATGTTACAATAATTCCACTGTTCACAAATTCACGAATTTTTAATCGAAAAGTTCATCTCCTTGCGACGAATTACAAAGGTTGGTGGATAACAAAATTCCAAGTATTACTCAACCTAACTTTCTTATCATCAAGTTGTCGATATTGACAATGATGATCAAGTCCATTGCTTCCAAGACGTTGTCATTGGACTCAGACCACATAAATAGCTAGGCATAGACACATGATGGTCTCTCAACGGGTAACTCCATTAAAAACTTTCGGGACTTTTTGAGGTTTGCTTACTCCTTTGAAAGACAAGTAGCCATAAAGCTAAACTCCAATGATCATATTCATAATCGAAGGCCTCGTTTGCTGATAATATCAAGAAAAACTACCAGGAGACTAACAAACGAATGAAATATTGTGAAAATGGCTCAAAAGCTAGGTTACCAGGTAGTTCATGGAGCAGGACTAACAAACACAGTGTTCCTGCCTGACAATGCGGTGGTGATGCAAAGTGGTGTTACTTGGTGGGATCGAGGGGTTTGCAAAAACAGACTTTGGGGACCCATCAAAGGAGATGAAGCTGAGGTATTTGAAGTATAGTATATGAGTGAAAGAGAGGTCATTGGCAAGACGATACGCAGCTGATGATGTCGTTTTAAGAGATCCAATGGTGAGACACAGGCAAGGATGGGATGCAATTAGTACTACTCATCTGGTTCAACAGAATGTAAAGCTTGATGTTCGAATGTTTAGATCCACTTTGCTAAAAGCTTTGGAGCTTTTACACAACTAACACCATGCATCTTCTTATTTGGTTTTATAGATTAAGATATTATCGGAATATTTCAAGTCGTGAATTTTCGAATTGCCAATATCATACTAACAATTAAGAACAAATAAAACGATAGTTTTGTTTACATAAATTTGTTAACTAACTGTAATGGCACACACTATTTTTCCCTCCAAAAGGAATAAATGAATAAATAAAAATGGAAGCAAATTTGTCGGTATTGTATCACCTGGCACAACACTTTAAAGTATCATTGATTTTAGGGTTAAATTGCACTTTTCGTCCTTGGTTTGTTAATTTTTACAGATATGGTCCCGGAAGATAAAATTTAGCCCTTTTGGGGAACAGCTCAGACGTTAAATTCGTAGAAATGACCATTTTGCACGCGCCTATCTCCTTCATCTTGGATACAATTCCAAAGCCTAAAATTAAACAAAGCAAAAGCCCATGAGCAAAGAAGATAGAGCAGTAAAAAACAACAAAGCAAAGCACAGGGACGAAATGTGTAATTTAGTACTTACCTTGGTTGGTAAAGGTGTTGCGATGGAGATGGGGATGGGGATCAGCGCCTCTTTTTGTTTGTTTGTAGTAAGGAAGAAATATGGTCGATAGCCTTTTTTGATGAATGGGTCTCACCAGTTAACCAGTGGAGAGCCTCAGAGGCAGCGCTTTTTTCAGCAAGTTTTTTACTCCCACATGGCTGCCCGACAAAATCCAACCCATTGAAAACCACAGTGGACCGGAACTTATTGTTTTTCAACTGTGATGTCTTGTAGCTTGGTGGCTGATGACCCGCTCTTAAAAGCATCGTCTGTAAGTGATTCTTGGAGTTATCATGCTCTGCTACACTCCCACTCCCACTTGTTGAAGATATGGATGCGGCTTTTTTATTTTTTGTTTCTTTCTTTAAAACAACTGGTGATACTTTTCGACCGTGGACAAATCTACCCTCACATCTGTCCCCGGATACTAGCAGTTTTAGAGCCTCCACTAGTCCCTTTTCGTTTTCATTGCCAATGTCTATTTTCGGATTCAAAAGCTGCAATTCGTATTATTCATTTAGCATTAAAGGAAATGTTTTCATGTCTGGTTAGATGCTTTGTTTACCTTCATCTGGATGAGTTCATCAAGCTCTCTTTTTAAGGTGAGATAAGTGGCTGCTAACCCAGGCTTCATGAAGAACTCCAAGTAACCCCCCAACATTTTCAAGTGTCCATCCTATCCAAAAACATAAATAAATAAATAAAAACATATGAAAAAAAAAAAAGGAAAAGGAACATACCATGGCCCCTTTGGAAACGGTGCCTCCAAATAAGAGAACCACAGAATCGGATACAGCTGTTGAATCCCTTAGAAAGACAGTATTCACTTTCACCTTTTCATTGAATACAAGCCATGGATATGGAATTCTTGGTTCCTGAGCATTAACTGAATTCTACGTTCGAGAATTTACACATTAATTAATTTGAAGTCGGAAAGCTTTTAAACACTGAGATGAGCTTAACTTACTAAATAAAGCAATACAGGACCATCTTCCATTGTTTTCAACGATACTGATTTCTCT